TCTTCTAGTTACTAGAAACATTTCATAGGTCGAGTCAGAACAAAATGTATACTTTGGACTTTGTTTCAAAACAATGATGTTTCTATGATAATTCAAATCGATGATTCCGACACCCGGAAAATAATAGAAACTTGGAAATAGGAATCTGGAGACCGGATTTTTCTAGTTCCGATCGGAAATGACTATAATCGGATAAAGGCAGTCGTCAAATTCCTGTTTCCAAGTTTGTTCTATTTTCTACATTTTTCCGTCATGTATTTCTTAACCTAAGAAGCTAATATCTCGATACGGATACGTTTGTCGTAGCCTAAACTTTAGACTGTTTCTAGAGACTGTAAGACGCATCTCTAGACAAAATTTCAGCTTGAAATTCAATCATTTAGGTTACTAGCGATTCTATTCAAAATTAAGTAAAACGTTCATAATTTAACAAGCGAAGATCGGAAAATCCAAACAGTGATCTTTAGTAGTAAGTTTAAAATTAGGCAATACTCTTCTTCTTTCTCAATTTTTAAGATAATAAACATGAAAGGAGTCCGAATGTATCTAATTCTTGATCTTGACAAGCTAAAAATAATTAAATGCTCGATGCATGACGAAAGAACTGATAAGTATTTGCAAAGATTTTCTACTGATAATCTTTTGTTTATGCTTTACAAACATATATCAATCCAATCATAATTGAAACGCAATTCATTAAAATTATATGAACAATATATAGAATGAGTCCGTAATGGAATAAATCTTTAATTTATTATTATTATTATTATTATTTTTCTTTTCTCCGAGTAACGTCGAAAATTAATTAGATCTAAAAAAAACTTCGGCTCACACCGGAAAAAATTATTTAATGTAATAGCCGAGTATTTAAATTTTCAAGTAATTATGATGCTATATGTGAATTTTATATCCTTTTGTATTTTAATTATTCTCATGTTTTTGCCCTTCCTCATACAGAATCTACGTATGATATATCTATAGTCTAATTATAACTAGAAGAAAAATTGCGTTTCTTTTTCTAGAAAACAATTTAATGTCAAATCTAACCTATTATGTTTAATAACATAGAATACTTGTCAAATAATCGAAGTTTTTTCTTTCTAACGAAAAATATAATGTAGTAAATGAGACTCGATAAAATTATGAAAGAATTATATTAATAATAAATAACTAAATGTCCTTGAATGAAACAAAAACCTATAACTCTACTAGAAGAGACTTTTCTTTTTCTAAATTATTTTTAGACATTAAAAAAAATAAAAAGAAATAATTGATATTTTTCTTTTTTTGTTTCATATTTTATACATACCATATGCACCTTCACCAATAAATTTTAAATCAGTATAACGTGGCCCAACTTCAAAACGTTGTTGTCGAACTATTTCAAAAGGTGGTGCTGAAGATAATGTTTGATTCATTGGTTTATGTACATCTTTACCATTTTCTCCTTCGTCCATTTTTATTTCATTCATATTACTAATATAAATTATGTAACATTCAGAAGTAAATATTAAATTTATAAGTTTATATATGTTGATAGTGACGAGTCTATAAAATAACGAAAAAATGTCATGTTTTTTACTTGTAACTAGGTATAATCGGAAGAAAGAAAAGAAAAAGAAGAGAACAACACCTTGATTCATTATTGAATCATGTTGTCCGTTGATCTTAAGTTAAACTATTATAGTCATTTCGTTTTGTTTTTTTTGTGTTTGGCTTCTAATTCATCAATGAATTATGATGCCATTTATATAGAGCACAACAACAAGTGAGGAAACTCTATTCTTATTATGTCATTTTTTGCTGACGTCAACATGACGTCAATACCTTCGTTTGATAAAGAGAAGAAAAAAAAAAAAAAAAAGAAGAAACCCTCAATTAGCTTTAATAATGCTATATACGTATATATAATATATTTCATCATGACTTATTTCAAAAAAATAAAAATGACATCGTGTCAATATTTGATGTTTTGTTTTTTTTTTTTTGTATTGCTTATTTCTTGTTTGTGTATTCTAATGGCAACTTGCATGTTTTAACTGACGTTTGAATGACAAAAATGAATATATATATATATGTATGTTATGTAGTGCATTATCAATTTTTATCTAGAGGTTTGGATTTATGAATATAATAGTTTCAATATAAATAAAAAGAAAAATCTGTCATGATTGACAAATCATGTTGATTAATAATTCTAATATTTTTCATGGAAATCGAGGTATGTGTGTGTTAACGTCGACTTACCTTTGAAAGAATATGAAAAAAAAAATATTCTTATCAAATGTAAATAAAGATTGATGCAAAAAAAAGGAAAAAAAAAAAAAAAAACAAAAATTTCTTTTTTTTGTTTAATGAAATTTTTGAATGCATGACATATATACTTATTTGTTTATAGAATGGATACTACTAGTTTTTATGACTCCTCTAAAAAGTTTATCTACGTCGTTTGATTTTTTTTCTTCTTATTGCTTTTTCTCAAAAGACTATATACAGCTGATACACATTAAAACAAAAAAGAACCAAGATAATATCATACCTATGTAAAAACAATTAAGTCAATAAATATGTTTCTGGTTTTTTCCTCCAAGGATTCAAAATTCACTGTTAATAAATCATCTGAAAATAAAGAAATAGAACATTCTTTAAAAAAATATATATATATATTGACATCACCTCGGTAACCTCTCTTTTATCGAACATGAGTGACGTCTTGTTTTTTTTAATGTCACACAAGCATATATATATACACACACAAAAGAAAGAGTACCAATTAAGATACTCTCTCTCTCTCTCTCTCTCTCTCTTCTCTCATTCTTCTTTTCTCTATCATTCGGTTGTTGTTCGCTAGGGTTTCTTTTCTTCTTTTCTTTTTTTCCCTTTATAGTCTAACCCATTGTCGATGCTTACCAATCTAGAAAACATGCACTAGAAGAAGAATACCATGCTTATATGTGTAAATTAGAAACAACTACTATCACAATTTGTGCATAATAAAAAAAAAAATGAAAACTAATTATAAATTTATTTTTCCATACAAACCTAATAATCAAGTCCATAAATACACTAAGATAATACATCAGAATGTATTTGATACATAATACTTACAAAAACAAACAAAATGTCTCGAGTTAATAAAAACAACGGAGTGTAGAGAAGAGAACGAAAGAAGAAAAAAAAAAGAACTAATACAAGGACATTATGGAATCGAGGCTTCATATGTTTATCAATGTGAGAACGAAAAAAGAATGGCAACATTACAATAATCGAGGTGTCTATAGTAATGCATATATACATCCAGGGATTGAATCCATCAATAGATCATTTTCCTTCATTAGTCATTCATTCATCCATTAGAACTCTGATTGACCATATATATATATAGATAAGCATAAGAGAGAAAACATTATTTTCTACATTAACATTTGTATTATAATTAATACAAAAAAGCTTTGTTAACCAAAAAATATATGTTTATATTTCTTATGAAATTATATTTATGATTAAATCATTTGATAAACTAAATTGGAAATATTTTAGATCAAGTTTTATTTGTCCTTAGCTATTGAATGGCATGTCATTGTGAATAGTACTTTGAGCACTAGTCATATATATATATATATTAGAAAATGCCTTCTTTATAATAAAAGACCGTAAAAGAAAGAAAAAAAACACACCATAGCATGGGTACTTAATAGAAGTGGAAGAAATATTTCCGTACATGATATTTCTTTCTTCCTTAAAGAAAATAGCGTTGTTGTTTTTTTTTTTTTGTTTTATTTACTAAATAATTTACTTTTAAGTTTAAATATTCAAGGTTTGCAAACAAAACAACAAAATTATAATCATAATTATTTTTTTACTCATTAAACTTTACAATAAAAAAAAAAAAGATGATTTTGTAAGATGCTTATTTGATATAAAGTCAGATAGGGTTTTATATAGAGATTAAAATGAAAATTATTTTATCAGGAATAGTAGATACATGTGAATTAATATCCAGATTTGAAGTGCTGCTTTTTTTTTCTTTAATAAAACGCAATTACAATGACTAAGTCCATGGGAAAAAATTTCACTATAACATTTTTTTTTCTACAATGTAAAGTCGTCCCTAGCTCAAATCCAGAAAATGATTTTAATAACCAATGAAGTATTCTATACTAGATGAACTATGTTTGGTAAGATTTCTGAAACAAAAAAGAAAAAATAAGGTGATAGAAAATGTGGCCATCAATTATTTTGTGCTTCTTAAAATGGCATTATTAAAATATAAATTTAAAAAAGTCTTCTAGGGCCTGAAAATTACCTTATCTGTTTCTTTTTTTAGAAAGCTTTCTATTATAGTTCATCTAGTATAGAAAATTTTCATTGACTATTAATATCACTATTTGAATTCGAACTAGGCACTTAACATGATATAAAATATATGTTGTTAAAATTTTTTTTCAGAACATTATATCATAGGGTGAAATAGAAAGGAAATTAGATATCTGTCATTTACGCATTTTTTTAGAGAAATACATTATAATTATTAACTTATTTTATCATCGACAGTATTAATAACTCATAAAACTTTCTTTCTCATTTTATGCTTCCAAAAAAAAAACAAATTTCCTAGCAGATTGTCTTTATATAAGTTGTTGTTGTCGTTGTTCTATCAACCATAACATTACGATTAGTTCTTTAGATAGATATTAATTCTATTCAATAATAATCTATAGTCGCCACTAGAAATACATAAAATGACATAACTTTATAGAAAAACTAAAAATCCGATAAGTGTCATTTCGATTTCATCAATGCTAAGAAGAATTCAAATAATAATTTGAATTATAGGCTCAACGTTTGTATAAGTAAATGTCATAGTCTAGACTTCAGTCCAATATAATAAAGCCATTGCTTGGTCTCTACAGAGTTAGTGAAAATATATATCAGATAATATTCACAATAACATTTTCTATTTCATGCACACTCGTAATACCAAGCGATGATTTTATTGCATTGAACTGAAGTCTAGTCTATGATATTCACTTGTACAAGTACATAACTCATTATATTAATTTTATGAGTGCCCTGTTGAAGATCAAGTAATATTTTGTCTATTATTATTCTATGTCGGTATGAGATTGACCAGTGTTATTTAAAAAAAAAAATTATACTGAAGGTTTCAATTCGATTCATTCAGTATTTTTCAATAGCTATAGTCGATTTTTAATCTTTTGGTGGTCAATAGATGCCAAAATTATTCAACAAAAGTTTTCAAAGAAATTTCAGAAAACTAAAACCTTAGTTTTTCAGTAAGATGAGACGTCTCCGAGTTCTCTGCGCTTATTCGATTGAATGAAGATCAAAAAAGAAAAGGATTTCCTATAAAAAATATTGCAAAGAACTCAGAAATATCTTATCCTATTGAAAAACTAGGATTTTGATTTTCTCGTATCTTTATCTTTTCGAATTTTTATTTCCTTTTAAAAACAATATTCTCTATTTGAACTCTTTAGAACTTACAACAGTGGAAAATAAGTTTTGTTGAATAATTATAACATCCACTATATACGCATTATGATTTTTATCATCAGCGGAACTAATATAATCATTAATAATGCATATATTTTCGACACATTTCTGTAAAAGGAAATGTTAAACAACAGAAGCTTTCAATAATATCATTTTGTTACAGCCTATATTAGTCTCATGCGTGAAAAAACGGAAGTGTGCATGATGATAACTCATTCTATTTTATAATATGTGTATGTTTTTGCTAGTATTCAAAAGGTTAAACATTAAATATAAGTTTGTATTGTTCACTGGGATGAAATGACATGAAGTTCAATGTTTTTTTTTCCAGACCTATCATCAAAAAGGATAATCTAGTGCAATATTCATAGTTAATTATTCTAATAGCTGAACATGTTACTTTTGCAAATTACGTTTTCTTTTCACATGACATTTAGAACGATTTATATATATAAAAAAAAAGGCGTTTTCATTACATTACAAACTATAGAAGTTGTTTCAAATATAGATTTAATAATTAAAAATAACAATATTATTGTTATTTTACCAGAGTGAAACCTCTTTTGGGATGTGTATGAAATACTTAAACAAGAATATCATGTACTATGGACAAATCGTGAAGTCTGCACATATCAAGAATGCGAAAAAAAAAAAGTTCGACTCAGGTAATTAATTTGAAAGGTTTTTACTAATATCAGATTTAATAAAAAAAGATTAAAAGTCTATATGAAATACTCTCAATGATTATTCGACTGAAGAGCTTTAGATTAGTGTCATGCAATTGGATTGGGTACCCAACCTCAAGCATAGATTTAAGTGCGAAAAATCGTATTCATGCAAGACACTACTTTAAAACTCTTTGATTCTTTGTTTTTTTTTTACAGCTAATTCATAATAATGCTTACGAACAAATTTGATATTGATTTCTAGAAAAAAAAAAAAAAAATTTATAATA